AAATTGAGAAATTGAGAAATTGAAAAATTGAAAAATTGAGAAATTGAAAGATGTAGTATTTTGACAATCCCTTAATTTGAAAGCTTGAAAATGAAATACTTAAAAATTGTATGGCTCTGAAATACTTCATCCCCTAAACCCAATCTAAAAGAACACAACACTGTACTTGGCAATACGAACCAAAACCTCAGTGTCTCATATTTCTCTCCTATCTCATATTCGTACATACCTTCTCTTCTAACCAGTAATCGAATTATTCTCAATGGAAACGTTCATCGATTCGTTATCACGATAGTTGCGTAATAATAGTTAATATTTAATCTGGGTTACATAATCGAAGACCCGTTCTCTTGTTTCAGGCTGCGGAGGGTTTTGTCTTCGTGGTGGGCTGTGATCGTGGAAGAATTCTCTATGTATCCGAGTCTGTTTTGCAGACACTCAATTATTCTCAGGTATCCCGTTAATGCTGTTTTTTTATTACACTAATATAACACAAGTTATGATACGTAATAAGCATATCGTGTGGACCAAAAAATCTTCTTTTTGTAACAGTTAAGGGTTTAAACTAATTACATTTTTTAAGACAGATTATACTTTTGTTATAGAACATGAATAAAATATATTTCATTCTTTAAATAAAGTTTCATTTTTAAAATAAAGTCTTATTTTAATTTAAAATATATTTTATGTCGTAAGGAAAGTGAACTAGCAAAGTATTATTTTTCCGCAGGGTGACCTACTGGGTCAAAGTTGGTTCGATATCTTGCACCCGAAAGATGTTGCCAAGGTGAAGGAACAACTTTCCTCTTCGGATCTTAGTCCACGTGAAAGATTAATAGACGCCAAAAGTATGTATAAACATTATTTTCCTTAATTGAAGAATTCCCATTCCATCATTTTTCTAAAGTCTGACAAAAATAATATAATTATGTGATATTTTCATGATTTTTATTATGCGTTTTATTACGTTGGAGATAAAACTATTTTCCTTCTACCATCGTCTTCCATTTTGTTTATTCGTGACGGAATAATTGTTCTTACCATGTGTTGATAATAGACGAATTAAAGAATTTACAACATTTCGCATGTTTTCAGATTTTCGAATATTCAAATTTATACACTTCGAAATTTTCAAATTTATTATTATTCTTTACGTAGCATCAAATGTTGAAATTTACACATTTTCCAAATTTTCAAATTTAAAATTTCAAAAAAAAAACAAAAAAATAGAAGAGAAAGTACTGTATTTTACTAGCAACACTAACAATTTTATATTTGCATTAGTTTTCGCAAAATGAAAGTTATTTGAATGCAATCCTCCATATTTTTTAACATCATACACGTGTCAAGGCAAATTCGTTTACATGACTATGACCTTCAAACTTATGCAAGGGCAGAAACGAAAGAAACAAATTGAACATTCCGTAACATTCATATTTATTATTATGTCACTACAAATTGATAGGAATATATATCACGTCTAATGTGGCTTCCATTAGCCCGAATGCATTTCTGAGCTCTATTGATTACACTCCCGCTACTTTGTGCTAATGTTGCGCTGGATATAGATGTACCTTTTATCTTAATTTGTAAGAAGTTTAAATCTGTTGGCGGTATACTATAAACAACGTCTTTAATATAACCCGATAAAAAAAGATCTATGGGTGACAAATAGCGGGATGCAGGTGATTTTATAAGTTCGCATGTTCCGACCCATTTATTATCGAACATATTGTTTAAAAAACTTGTTATCGATCTGCAGTTATGAAAGGCCTTGCCGTGTTGGTAATACTTGCATAAAAAACAGTAACAGTGATTCTCAATAATTTTGAAATTCATTATTTCAAAATTGTGAGTATTGCCACTTAAAGTTTCGGTATAAAAGTACGGACCAAGTAACGTATCAATAATTCCGCACCAAACATTTCTTCCATGCGTCTAAAAATTTCTTCTTAATTTATTCTGAACTGATACCTATCACTTTGCAGTGGCAACCGCTGGTAAAACAATATTACAGAATGTTCAATCTACTTCCTTCCCTCGCATGAACTTAAAGATTACATGCATTAAATTCTTGTCACACGTTTTCGTATGATGGATCACACCGGAAGGTTAATAAAATTCAACAGCAATTTTCTTGGTTAACAAGTTAAATATATAGTAAATGAATTATGAAGTCGTAAGCATGAATTCAGTCACGAAGATATTAACTCTGATGCAATTAGATGAAATGATTGAAAATTTCTGCTGGTTCCAATTTGTTGCAAGTTAAATATATAGTAAATGAACTATAAAGTCGTAAGCATGAATTCAGTCACGAAGATATTAACACTGGTGCAATTAAATGAAATGATTGAAAATTTCTGCTGGTTCCAATTTGTTGCACCTGTCATGTTTCACGCGTACGTCTCTGAGTCTATTCTCCCCGAAAGTTTCAAAACTCTCACAATCGCTAGAACTTCAACTTCGAGAAGGTTACTTGACTCGCTGCATACGAATCCATTAATTACACCGTCTTTCGACATCATTGGCTCCAGCATGGATGGTCAGCTGGACGATGGTTCATTGATGCACTTTAATATCTGATAAATGTCACTGGTTCGACAGCATCTGACTGTCGATGAATTAACGCTATAAGATGAAAGCGTTGCGAAAGACTTGTCTAAACGGGGAAAAGCGATGCAAGATTTCTAAGATGTTACATGCCGCTGTGACCTACGGAGAACGAAAGGTCTTTGATCTCGTATGATCATACATCATCGATGCTCACGGTTTTAGAATCACCGTCGATTCTGAAAATGTTAAAGATTCTGCGTTCACTCATCCTTGGACGCAGGGTGTCCCTGAGATGGGGGACCGGTTTTACTGAGCTGGAGGGTTGGAGTGAAATCTCTAGAGAACGCGTTTTATGAACCATAATTATTTTATATAATTTAATATATTATTAAAGACAATTTTTAAGTATAATTACCGTAAGATAGTAAATTGTCAGCATTTTATTTTCAAACGAATATATGGGATCTGTCTGAATATTACTCATAAAGAATTCCAACTCCATATATGTATAAACTAATATATGTGAAAAATCTGGTGATAAAAGTTTCATAACAAAGATATAAAAAATATACCATCTGAAGTAATCAAGGTGACCTTGATTTTTATTAAAAGAAACCTTTTTTAACAATTTAAACAACGATAATTTTAAAGTTAACTAAGATCTAGACTACCTAGACTAACTTTTAAAATATTTAAAAATATATAGAATATATAAAACATTTTTTCTAAAAAAAAGAAATGATAACTTTGTCTGAACACTCCGAGTACGATTTGAAGTGTATAAGTACAAAGTTGCAAAACTGAAACTGACTCGTTTTTTCCACGCGTGCTTCAATTAATTACAATAATTAAACGTGATTACGTGCTACATTAATACAAGAAGTGAAGTGTTTTTCGAATCTAACCTAGAAATTATGTAAATAACTTTATGAGACATGTGCATACTATTGAACAAATTATAGTCAGATACGATTAAGGAAAAAAGGTTTGTACATATTTAGTGTTTGTATTTTAGAAGGAAGTTCTTCGAAGGAAGAAAATTAGCCACATCACCATATGTTGGAATACATCAAGATTAATTACGTAACGATAATGCTCGAAGAAACATCACGGAAAAGTGATAAATATACGCAGCTCAGACCGAGAGGAAGAGATTGCATGCGCCATTAACGTGCTTCCAGTTAACGTTAACATCGCAACAGTATTTTTTTTTTCTCTTACGTAATATCGAAATACGGACTTTTGTAATTTTAATCACAATCGAACGCAGTTTATCCTGGAAATCGGCGTCGTTTTCTTTGCGGAAATTATGCGAATCGCCTTTTAGCACATAGTCATCGGTTGCCAGCTACGGGATATTAAATATCTGCAGAATGAATCGAGAAGTTTTTTCTAATTTTATTTAATTATCTAACTTTCTAAAGTCACGTTTTTTCAAGTACTTTTTAAATTCTTAAATTCTTAAATAATTTTTAAATAATTCTTAAATTCTTAAATAATTCTTAAATTCTTGAATTCTTGTCTTCATAAATAATTCTTGAATTCTTGAATTCTTGTCTTCATAAACAATTCTTGAATTCTTAAATAATTCTTAAATTCCTGAATTCTTAAATACTTAAATAATTCTTCAATTCTAGAGTTCTTGATTTCTTAAATAATTCTTGAATTCTTAAATTCTTAAATCCTCGAATCCTCGAATCCTCGAATCCTCGAATCCTTAAATCGTCAAATCTCTAAATGCTCAAGTCCCTAAATCCTTAAACCCCTAAATCCTGAAACCCTTAAGTTCCCAAAAATCCAAATCTCTAAATTCGTAAATCATTGAATTTCAACATTTCTTAACATTTAAATTGCCAAATTTCCTAACCTCAAATTCAATACAAATTCAAAATCACGTTAAGTGACCTGTTCTGTAGACTCACTAGTCAATATTTTTTTTCTAATCTATTGAAATGTGACAGAAACAGTGGATATTTTTAGACTATACACCCTGAAGTGCACATCTTCTAACTCGTCATCATTGCGAATGTCGGACACATCACCTTTATTGAATCAGATGACTTAAGTGTCGTGCACCATTACACCGTTAGGTTGTTAATATGAAAACTAAGTCAGAGAAACAAATGATTTGTTTAAAGAACAAAAGATGTCCACGAAACTGCAGTGAGTGTTAATTAAAAACTTACGGAACGGTGTGAACAATATTTTTACACCATAAATTGCACGAATTTGCAAGTTCTCAATTTCTCAAATAAATAATTTTCGAATTCTCTATTTATAAATTTTTACTTTTCTAACTTTCAAAGATACTAACTAACAAAACTATGAAATTGTCAATTTCATAAAATTTTCAGTGTGAAAATTTGATATCTCTAAATTGAAAAATTATTGAATTAGCAAACTTCTGTATTTCTGGATTCTTAAATTCCTGAATTCTTGAATACTTAAATAATTCTTCAATTCTAGAGTTCTTGATTTCTTAAATAATTCTTGAATTCTTAAATTTTTGAATTCTTGACCTCTTACATTCTTAAATAATTCTTGAATTCTTGAATAATTCTTAAATTTTTAAATTCTTAAATAATTCTTGAATTCCTGAATTCTTGAATACTTAAATAATTCTTCAATTCTAGAGTTCTTGATTTCTTAAATAATTCTTGAATTCTTAAATTTTTAAATAATTCTTGAATTCTTAAATTCTTAAATAATTCTTGAATTCTTAAATTCTTGAATTCTTAAATTCTTAAATCCTCGAATCCTCGAATCCTCGAATCCTCGAATCCTTAAATCGTCAAATCTCTAAATGCTCAAGTCCCTAAATCCTTAAACCCCTAAATCCTGAAACCCTTAAGTTCCCAAAAATCCAAATCTCTAAATTCGTAAATCATTGAATTTCAACATTTCTTAACATTTAAATTGCCAAATTTCCTAACCTCAAATTCAATACAAATTCAAAATCACGTTAAGTGACCTGTTCTGTAGACTCACTAGTCAATATTTTTTTTCTAATCTATTGAAATGTGACAGAAACAGTGGATATTTTTAGACTATACACCCTGAAGTGCACATCTTCTAACTCGTCATCATTGCGAATGTCGGACACATCACCTTTATTGAATCAGATGACTTAAGTGTCGTGCACCATTACACCGTTAGGTTGTTAATATGAAAACTAAGTCAGAGAAACAAATGATTTGTTTAAAGAACAAAAGATGTCCACGAAACTGCAGTGAGTGTTAATTAAAAACTTACGGAACGGTGTGAACAATATTTTTACACCATAAATTGCACGAATTTGCAAGTTCTCAATTTCTCAAATAAATAATTTTCGAATTCTCTATTTATAAATTTTTACTTTTCTAACTTTCAAAGATACTAACTAACAAAACTATGAAATTGTCAATTTCATAAAATTTTCAGTGTGAAAATTTGATATCTCTAAATTGAAAAATTATTGAATTAGCAAACTTCTGTATTTCTGGTTTTCAATCTTATTAACTTACTGAACCGAACGTTCGATTTTATAAATCTGAATATTTGAAAGTCTGAAGATCTAACGATCTGAAAATCTGAATTACTAAAAATCTGAAGATTTAACGATCTGAAAGTCTGAAAATTCGAAAATCTAAAAATCTGAAAGTCTGAAAAACGAAAATCTAAAAATTAAAAAATCTGAAAATTATTATTTACCGACACATTTCAACTGAATGATATATAAAATATATTAACATTTGATTTTTCTTCAGCAATGTTACCAGTGAAAACAGATGTGCCACAGGGTGTATCGAGACTGTGCCCGGGCGCTCGAAGGTCTTTCTTCTGCAGAATGAAACGAAAAGTCGATGGAATTCGTTGCGGTGAATTGCAAGTGAAAGAAGAAGCTGATACTACCAGCGGTTGTCATAGACGCAAAAAACAACAAAACGTTGGTAAGTATTCATAAATTTATACCAAAAAATAATCAAATTTGCTTACAACAAATTTATTATAAATCGTTCTAACTTTTTATAGAAGAATAGAGTTTTAACATTAAAAGTAGTAAGCAATAGAACACGTAGAAGTGATTCGTTTTCAGCGATTGTTCAATTTGAATGTATTAATATATCTACATTTTTAAAATATTTATCACATTTGCACTATTCAAATTTTTATCGTATTTGCATTTTTCAATTAATATCATATTTGCACTGTTTATACTTTTATCATATTTAAATTATTCTAATTTTCACTACGTTTGCACCATTCACTTTTATCTCATTTGCACTTTTTATTTTGACAAATGTTATGAAATATGAAGGTAATATTTTACTTCAGCATATTTGTTGGATATAAATAAACAAATAAATAAATAATAAGTAATACATACATTAACAATAAATAATGAAAATTTTTGTATAAAATAGTAGAGTAACATTAGAGTAAGTTTAACATGTCGACACTTTTAGAACATCGATGTAAAAATAAAACTTTTCCAAGAAGGATAAAAAGAGATTTCCAGTATTAGGAATTCCTTTTCACCGTTTCGAAGATGTCACGACATAAATGTTTGCCGCGTGGTTTGTCAAAAGTGAAAAAGGAAAGACTATTTCAATGTCCAGCTAAAGAACTTTCTTCACATATCTCCTCTTTTATATTTTTTCCTTTGTCGTTCTATTCTTAATCGTCTTCTTAAATGTGATATGTAATATCGAACGACAAAGATTATTTTTAGAAAGATAAATGTTATTATGTACAAAATAAAATGATGAAGAATCTAATTGTTTTGATGGTTAAAAGGTATTGTTCAAGATTTGATTTTTTAAAGTTGTTTGATTTTCTAAATTTGAAAACTTCTATATGTATAAGCATAAAATTTTGCAATTCTTAAATCACTAAATTACCAAAGTGTTTTACCAAAACTCAAATTACCAAATTTCTAAATTCTCAAATTCTCAAACTCTCAAATTTCCAAGTTGTCAAATTTCCATATTCTTAAATTTCCAAATTCTCAAATTTGCAAGGTCCTAAATTTCCAAATTCTCCAATTTCCAAGGTCCCAAATTTCCAAGTTCTCAAATTTGCCAAATTTTCAAATTCTCAAACTCTCAAATTCCCAAATTCCCAAATTCTCAATTTCTCATATTTTCAAGGTCCCGAATTTCCAAGTTCTCAAATTTGCCAAATTTTCAAACTTTCAAATTCTCAAATTTCCAAGTTGTCAAATTTCCACATTTCTAAATTTCCAAATTCTCAAATTTGCAAGGTCCTAAATTTCCAAATTCTCGAAATTCCAAGGTCCCAAATTTCCAAGTTCTTAAATTTGCCAAATTTTCAAATTCTCAAACTCTCAAATTCCCAAATTCTCAATTTCTCAAATTTTCAAGGTCCCGAATTTCCAAGTTCTCAAATTTGCAAAATTTTCAAACTCTCAAATTCTCAAATTTCCAAGTTGTCAAATTTCCATATTTCTAAATTTCCAAATTCTCAAAAATTTCGGAGGTCCAAAATTTCCAAGTTCTTAAATTTGCCAAATTTTCAAATTTCCAAGGTCTGAAATCTCCAAGTTCTAAAATTTGCCAGTTCTAACATTTACAAATTCTCCAATTCACAAATTCTCACATTTTCAAATTCTCAAATACTTCATCTCTCCAAATACCCAAAGTCTCATCAAAAACTAGAGCAAAGCATATAATTAAACGAGAGCATACATATATCCATGAGAAAACGATGTAAACACTTTATTATCTCTTCTAACGATTCTCAATGCAATATTGACCTCGTGTCCTCGCTATTACACGATACATCAAATATCTTAACATTTCTTTCATATATCGATTAACGAATAACTGTTATATCAACTAAAATACTAGTTACTGCAACTCTAACTACAATTTAAATTGATGCAATCCGTCAAAATGGAGGATCATAAATCTCTTATTTTAAATAAAATTATTAAAAAATTTTTGTAAAAATGTATGTCAACTTTTGTCAAACCGAAGAATGTCTTAGGCAGTTCACATATAATCTTCAATTTATTTATTTTTCTACCTTAGTTCAAATTTAAATATAAGCGACCATTAAACAAACGTCCGTAGACTTAGTATAAAACGTACAACATTAAAATAAAATGAGTAACAGTAAAATAACAATAGTGTAAAATAACATCTTCAAGTCCAAATTTGTAATAAATTATTATTGCTACATAAATAAATATTTAGTTAATAAATAAACAGTTCATAAGTAAATAAATATATATATTTAGTTTAATAAATATTTTTGCAGATTGGAAATACTGCGTCATTCAATGTACCGGCTACTTAAAATCCTGGGCACCTGCGAAAATCGATCTGGAGGAACAAGAAGGCGATGGCGACGGAGAGGCTTGCAATCTATCGTGTTTAGTTGCAGTTGGTCGTTTACAATCAACTATACCAACATCTTTACCTAAGAAACCAAATTTGAGGCCGATCAAATTTGTTTCGAGGCACGCGATGGATGGCAAATTCCTTTTTGTCGATCAAAGGTTCATATTTCAAAATCAATTTTTACTCGAAACGAAATAAAAGTTGTTTTATGTTAAATCTCCAAGGTCATGTTCGCTGTATTAACAAGTTCAAATCAATTTTCAAGTAGTATTGCTGTTCTTGAGACATTCAAGACTGTATATATATTTATTAATAATTTTAGATCGTAATAAATGATTTTTGCTTGCAGGGCCACTTTAGTGTTAGGTTTTCTACCACAAGAGCTGCTAGGTACGAGTATGTACGAGTATTATCACCATGATGATATTCCTCATCTTGCTAAATCTCATAAAGCTGCTCTTCAGGCTACTGAATGCATCACCACACAGGCAAGTAATTATTATAAATCTGATATTTAGATTATTAGTGTAATTAGGAAGACAGTAGCAACTAATGGAATATACTAAATGTAGAATACATCATATGTATTATAGAATACCTCATATTGAGAACTTAAACATTTCCAAAATTAGTAAATTTTTAAATTTGCAAATTAACAAATTTCTAAATTTCCAAATTAGGAAGTTCTCAATCCGAAATTTGCAGAAGCATTCTGGGCTCTAAATCCTTAAATTTCCAAATTTTTTAATTTTTATATTTCACAATTTCTAAGTTACCAAATTACCAACTCCAAATTTGTAAAATTACTCAAGCCCCTAAATTCCCAAATTCGTAAATTTCCAAATTAGCAAATTCTTCATCTCAATAAATTTGACTTAAGACTTAAAGTACTTAATTGTCAAATTATATATCTCCATTTATTTGCCTAAAATAAACCACTTATTTCCTTAATTTTAAATTCAGATATATTCGTCTGTTTAGATATACAGGTTTAGGACCAAGGGTGCCAGCTTCGTGAGACTTCAATCTGAATGGAAATCTTTCAGAAATCCGTGGACCAAAGATATCGAGTACCTAATAGCTAAAAATTCAGTTACTTCGTAAGTTTCAATTTCTTCTAACTATCTGATATCGTATATAAAATATTTACGAATTTTATTAAAAACGAATTCTTTCAGTTGTGACTCTCGATCGATCACAAACAGTGGGAACAGATCTGAGGACTCCAGTGTTCAGGGCAACTACGATTATTTTACACAGAGTAATTATTAATAGAATATTTATTACCTTATAATGTAATAAATATATTGTATATAATATTTACAAAAGTGTAACATTTTTATTGGTCTTGTATAATATCCATAAAATGAATATTTTTACTTATTATTATAGCAACAATTATTACTACTTATATTATTAACATATAAATAATTATTACTTATATTATTATTATATTTACTTATACTATTATCTGTTTATTTTCACCTAACCTAATAGGTGTACCTAACCTTACTCAACAACAGATTACTAATAAAATTGTATTCAGGCGCTTCAATATTGAATTGTATTGCTGCAGGTAATGGTGGATTAGAAAGATTAATCTCGAGTCACGTGGAGGTAAGTAAAATCGGACGGCAAATAGCGGAAGAGGTCCTGGATCTTCAAAGACGGGGTGAAGATTCTTCTTCCGGTAGCAGTCCTGGACCAGGACCGGAATCTACCTTGTTGAATACCGAGGTAGTTATGGTTAGAAACCCACAGTAATTTGTGAACAATATACTTTTTAAAAAGGCAACCCTTTTTTGCAAATAAAAATCATACCTTCTGTTAATAAATATTTGAAGAATGCAATGTAGATTTGTTTTGAGGGATACTTAACTATAAGTAGTCTCACTAATTTCAGTTATGTGAAAAGGGTGTAAGGAAGAAAAATCTAAATACATTTCTTAACCTCCTAACTGGATGATTTTTTAACTGGAAGAAGCTCTTCTGTACTTGCAATAAAAATTTAATTATTCCAAATATGTTCATCTAAATCCTTTCTGCAGTAAAAAATATGAAATCATAAGATGAATGAAAAGACATTTCTTATAGTTCTTAAGTAAAGAAAGCCTACCGTTTAATGATTTTTCTCAATGTTAGCTATTATTCTATGAGTTCCTTAAGCAACTTTCTATCACTAAAACTAAATCAGGCAATCAACAGAAAATCTAGTTATACAATTTTAGATTAATTGTGAACGCATTGTAAATAAAAGCTCAGTAAAACAAATTTATTTAAAAAAAATTGTATCTGTATAATTAGTCACGGATTACCACGACGGCATCATCACAGAGAGTCCAGGATTTGACGCAGCCAACAAGAGGTAGCACCAACAACAGCACCGCTACCCCCGCCCCAACATACAACCACATTGCAAACAACTTGCAGCTGAACAGCATCGCGAACGACCAAGGTCATAGCTATTACTGTCTCTAAGGAGTCGTTTCTTGGTGTGTAGTGCGATTGCCGGATTTTTCCAAAAATATTAAATCGCTCAGAGAAAACAGCGCAAAGAACTAGTTCGTCTCATCCGTTCCGATAATAAAAGTACAATTTTTTCTCTGAACGAAGCATAGGGCAACGGAAGTTCGCTCTGGTGTTTCGAAAGCACGAACGTCCAGCAATCAAATGTAACTTTCGTTTGGCAGATAATTTTCGTTTAAAGTAGCCACGCCACGCAAAAGAAAGACACCTTTTGAATAACTGTTGCGCATAACGTAACATGCCCTCCTTTTAGGAACGTCACCAGACGAGGACATGATGGATATGATCGGCGGCACCACGATTAACGAATCACCGAATCCAGTGCCATCGGATGGTAACGACGAAGCAGCAATGGCCGTGATAATGAGCCTTCTAGAGGCGGATGCCGGCTTAGGTGGCCCCGTGGACTTTTCCGGTTTACCTTGGCCGCTTCCATAGTACATTCTTTTCCACGTAAAAACGTTTAGTGTCTCTGAACATATGTACCTACGGTTTAGAAGTGTGTGAGTGTACATATAGTTGTGCTTCAAGTACTCGACCAACGTGTTTGCACTTCTTAGTTTGTCGAACATTCCAACGGATCTTTCGTTACTTTCTTTTAAACGGCCGACGGCTGTTTGGTGCTGAAACGGTGCTGTTTCAACGATACGTTTAGTTTTTTTATAGACATATCATTTCTGTGATCAATTACGGAATAAACGTACAGAACGGTTAAGTTTAAGTGGACATTTATTTCTCCCGCGGAGATCTTTCGTGTCGAACAGACGAAAGGATTTGTTTACAAAGGTATCGTCTTCTGCAAATCGAACATGTTGTTTTTAATATTATGAAAGTGATAACACGTTCACCGCTACTCGTCGTAGATTATTTGGTTGAAAACTGTAGATTTTATTTACGTTGACTGCCATGATTAAGTCACTGAACATTTTATTAGATAGTATTAATACTTCTTCCAGGGGTTTTCGCTTTTAAAGATGTCGGCTGGGCCTTAGGGTAACAGATGATATTATTAAAATACGGATCTTCGTCTAAAGTTTTTAACGCGCTGGCGCGTAAAATTGTTTATGTATTCTCATGTTTTTTCATTTCTTAACTTCTGAATGTTCAAATTAACAAATTACAAATTTGTCTAATTGATAAGTTTCTAATGCTTCAATTTTTCAAAGTTTCATATTTCCATATTTCATTTAAGTATAGCCAAATACCTCGTTTACCCGCTTTTAATAGCAGTCCTAATTATTTACAAATATTTCTTAAAATATTGCTATTTGAGTAAATAAAAAAATTCCTAATATCATTAATGAATTCCTATGGAAATTTAAGCATCATTCCATATATGGGTAACATGGTAGTCAACATGGTAAATTCATTTTATACAATAATGACAATATAGAAACTGAAAAAATCTGAAAAACGAACAATATTAAATATGTATAATAATTACCAAATTAAATAATTATTACATTACATCTCAATAAAATTGTAGCGGTTAACGTGTTAAATGGCTCTCCTGTAATTTATAATTACAATTGTGCGGTTAAAATTTTTGCGCACAGACAAATACATCCTAAATATTGTCAGACAATTATTTTAACTTTAGTTCTGATTCAGATTTATCTTTTGAAAAGACTAGTTGAAAATATCAGTTTCGAATCTTCGTATGAAAGTTTAATAAAATAATATCAGACCTCCTACCTCAGTTTGCATTTCATTGTAATCTATTTTTATCATTGAGAAAAATCATATACAGGATCATTAGATAACTTTTTCGACTGAATTTTTCCAAAATCATTGTAAATTTGAAAAAAGAAATGATTAAACAGAGACACCATAAAAAGACAGAAGTATGTAATTTTCTCAAGAGACAAGTTTGATACAAAATATTACTATCATTACTTAAAGGTTTTGAAACTTTTTAACGCTTTCATGGACAGTGGTTGTATCCACCATTTTCTTGTTTTTAGTTAAGACAACACGGCCATAATTCATATTCTAAAATTTGTTGAGAACAGAACGGTTTATATCTGCTACAAGAAATATGTAAAATGAATTGTTTTCAAAATCTCCATAATAGTACTGAATTCTGTTGCTCTAATCAAGACAATTATGGCCTCATTTACACTGTAATAAGAAAGTAATATAATTACAACTGTATTTCTCAATGCTTGTACAAATTTGAAGAGTCCTTAAAAAAGTTATAACCTTTAAGAATGGTTGTAAGATGATACTTTCATATGTATAGTCTTGTATACGATTCGTTTTAAATGTAAAAACCTCTGAATCTACAACAGGGTCATTATGAACTACAAGGCAATTCATTTTTAATCATGAACTTTACACATGATTATGAGGACTATTTAACTCATGAATATGGCGGTGCTAATTTGGGACTCAATTTCTATCTTCAGATACCTTTTTATACTAAATAAATATTAATATATTGCAGTTCAAGCAGTCAGCAAATGTAAATGATTAGTAATATGGAAGAAAATGTTTATTTGAACTGTATGCAAGTCAAATAAACCATATTCGAATGTTTGGTACTTGACACACTAAAACAATGGTACAATATGTCAAATAAGTACATCAAATAACATATATCATTCCAGCACCGCCAAATAAAGGGTTAAATGGCAATAACTGCTAACATACACATTTTTGTGTAAATACTTTACACAATAATCAATAACTGTCTTAAAGAATATATAAATTCAAAGGCGAAGTTCCTGTTTGTAGCCTATATGTCTTTAGCAACAAATTAACATTGCGTGTAAATATGTATCTCACAAAACGCCAAAAGTACCTAATTAAACTGTAAGAAATCATAATAACAAATAGAAGTTTCTCTTCACAGAATGATACGACCTTGTAATCAGGTGGATTGGTTCAAATACTGAGCGATGCCATCAACTTATGATGTGATAAGCCATTAAAGTACAGAATGTTAAACAGTTATGGTTTTTTAAAATTTTATTCAAGAATACTATTAGAAAATATCTTGCAATAGCGTATATGAAATTTATACTTTCATTTACAAAATTGAAGAAAAATTTAATAGTATTCATTTACGTATTTGTAGCGCATCGTCGAAACACTGATATAAATTCTGGAAAAATATCCAAAATTTATGCTTCTGAATATGTTGCTATTTCGTTTCATCAAAATTGTTTGTGCAATTCTTATACATGCTTTCTTTCCGATTATCGTCTTATTTTGAGTAAAATGTATTTCATATTTGTAATTTTATAAATATATTATTTCTTATATCTCAAACTGTAAAAAATATTTTTAAATAAGGAAAGTGGCGAACTCACTTCATGATACAGTTAAGTAAACTTGATTGAAGAAAAAAATTAATTTTCATACGCTGCTTGAGTATAGTGTACATAAACCGTATATATGTAAATAAATAAATTTATATGTGTGCGCGCGTGTGTGTATGTCAGTGTATGTGTCAAAGCGTAGAATAACAGTAATATACTTCAAAAATAAATGTTATTATAGGCAAAAGAATGTTACCACTACTAAATGTAGACAAATTCTTGGAAATTGTAATTGTTTTTATATTAAATTTTTCATTATAAATCTTTCAAAATAAACCATCTATTGCTTTCACAAGAATTCCTGGAATGAAAGTGAGAGAATCACCAATTATACAATTTCATTGTTTAGAAAAGGACTCCTATCCTGGTGTCAATTTGATTATCATTCCGCATCCTACTTAGACAACGTCCATCAAACCATAGTGAGTTCGCCCAATGAAGATTAATGCTGAAATTTCACCATGCAAGAAAAAATATATTGATCTACAATTTATTGCAAAAGTATATTGTAAATACATGTACATACTTATGTTATTTAGTTGAAAGTTTATTGTGTCATACGTGTCAAAATATAAAAACTGAAAATATTTAAAAAAGTTGTCATTTTTCTTTCCATGAAATTATCACAACAAATTTGATTCTTACAGGCTTTGATTTAAAATGTAGTTATAGACAGCAATAATGAGAAGACAAGAATGGCTTCCAGAGTACGTAGAAATAGTATCAAAATCCAGATATACAGATTAAAACTATATGTATAGACTACAAGGTCACATCTTTTCTTTGGTAGTAACTATGAAGATAATCTTGCAGAAACTTATAAAGAATAATGTGACATTTGGAACTCACATTAGACCTATTGAAGATCTTCCACAACTTAAAATGTACATATCAAACGCACACTCTTCCTAACCTGGAAGTGATCTTTGAATCAGTCAAAGAAATAAGTATATGCGAGTATCTCTACTGATGAGCAGAATGTAAATGAGAATGATCAATGTATTAACACTCAAATTCTGCACAAATTCCTTCCTACTCACCATACTGATGTGTAAGAACATCCTGAATTTGTCCTATTCTTATTCTCATATTTCTTCCTCTAGAGAATTCCATCTCCATGTGGTTCTTCATGGATGAAGCCACAACTGTTAAAGGGAGTATTCTCTTGTTCAAGACAATCCTTAAGCAGTAAAAAAGATTTTATCCAAACTTATGTATGATGTTTATCCACGACTATGTATAATTACTTCACAGTAGTTTACATCCTTAATGTTTCCCAATGTGTTGGAACTAGTTCCAGATTTAAAAGTTCAACTATAATCAGTGATATGTCACCATTTGGTTGAACTGAATCCACTAATACACCCTATGTTCATAATATATTTTTTTAAGTGTTGTTTCTTCTTGATTTAATGCAATCTTCAATTTCACTCCTGTTAATTTCAAAATCTTTTTTACACTTTCACTGGTATCTGTCATAAAGGCATCTTCATGGAATATCTTCTTTACTTTTGTAAGTAATTGAATGATATATTTTGTACATATATATCACTTATAAAACTCAATCATAAGCAGTCACTTACAGTGCTTCAATTTGAGCAATTATCTTTTGAAATGTTAATATTTAAAACCAAATATTAAAGTCAATTGCACATTCATGAACATTAATGACAATACAAGTATTATAAAAATACACAAATAGGTTTAGGAATATGACAAATGTACATATTTATTTGGAGAAATTTCTTAAAATGTATAATACATTCTACAGAAAAAAGGTCATATATATTTAAAAGTATTCATATAACACATCATATATTTTGATATTGCTTTAAAAAATTAAACTTGTACTTTTACTTATTAAAGTCTCTATAAGGTATTAACATAATGATACACTAATTTGAAAATAAAGATTATATCATACGTATATAGATTAAACTCACTGGTACATAATAAAATAAAAGAATCTCTAAAAATATAGAGCACGAAATTTAATTCGCATAAAAGGAATATGAAATCTATCAATGTGTAAAATTTGTTTGTACAAGTTTGTATTAATATAACAAAATAGAATTTATATACATATGTATTTATACATGACCTATCAATGAAGTGATTATAGTGTAAGTATATTGGATGTATATACTTACAAATATGTACAGAGTAATGTTTATTATCTGTAAGTAGCTTGAGGCAAACATGACCAAGTTCCTTTCCATTAACTGCGGCACGGTTCTTGCTACCAAATTGTATGAAATTTGGGACTTTGAAAATTTAGAAGTCTAAGTTAGAAATCTGGAAAATCTTGATTTTTGGAAATTGATAATTTGAGATTTTCAAAAATTTAGATTTTTAAGTTAGAAAAGTGGAAGTTTAGGGAATTAAAAAATCTGAAATTTGATAGTTATCTTAGAACTCGAAGATCTGAAAATTTAAAAACTTGAAAAATTTGGAGTGAAAATGAAATGACAAAATAAGGACAGTAGTCACATGTGACTCACAAGCCACCACTTGGTCATGTCTAATGTGCGATACAATGATATGCCATGCATATCTATTTATACTTTTCCTCGAATGAAAAAAAAATAAACAGAATTACAAAATGTTTTTATACCTTAATAATCGTCTAGAAACTTCTCGGTTTTAATTTTAATAATGCTGAAATCTAGATCACTATCTGATGAAACTCTTTCCTGTTTCAACTTTGCTTTATTGTTCTGAGTATATATACCTTGATCGTTATTATCTGATTCACTATTTATTACAGAACTATCTATTTCTACTTTTATGTTATGACTTTTTGTACCTTTGTCCGGTGTTTTCATTTTGTTAAAGTATTTTGCATTACTTTTTGCATCTGTTTCGCTTTCAATATTGTTACCTAAATGAGCTTCATATTTCTTCTTAGGTGAATTAATTTTTGGCGAGTTCCATAGATCTTCGTCATAAATGTCTTCATCTTCATTATATGACCTTTCTACTTTAGTTACGATTTTTTCAAATTCGGGTTCTACTTTAATTTTATTCTTTGAATGCCTTTTCTCCTTTTGTCTTGTGTTACTTTCATCATCTTCAACTAAATCACAATTAAAACTGTGCGTAAATATGTCTAAATCAGAATCCATCCTTGGTACTTTAGTGGTTTTTATATAATCTTCGTCTTGCGTATTTTCAGAACCACTAGCTGTTTCTGTCTTTATCTTTGTGTTTTGTATTTTACTGTTTTTTCTTTTTCCTTTTAATGAAACATTTTTAGATTGTTTATTCACTTCACTTTCGGAACTGTCCAAGTCCACGTTTTTATTCCTAATAGTTTTTATATAATCTTCATCTTGCATATTCTTAGAACTATTAATCGCTGCTTCTGTTTTAAGCTTAGTGTTCTGTGCTTTAGTGCTTTTTCTCTTTCCTCTTAATGAAGTATTTTTGGAATTCATTTTATTCACAGAAGTCTCCAAGTCCATGTTTTGTGTATAATCTTCATTTTGCATATTCTCAGAACTACTTATTGTTTCTGCCTTAATCTTTGTGTTTCGTATGTTACTATTTTTCCTTTTTCCTTTTAACGAAGAATTTTTAGAATTCACTTCACTTGCAGAAGTCTCCAAGTCCATGCTTTGCTTCCTACTGGGTGCATAATCATCATCTTGCATATTCTCAGAACTACTAATTGCTGTTTCTGTCTTAATCTTCGTGTTCCGTATGTTACTGTTTTTCCTTTTTCCTTTTAACGAAGTATTTTTAGAATTCACTTCACTTGCAGAAGTGTCCAAGTCTGTGCTTTGCCTCCTAATGGTTTGTATATAATCTTCATCTTGCACATTCTTAGGACTATTAGTTACTGTTTCTGTCTTAATCTTTGTATTCTGTATTTTACTGTTTTTCCCCTTTCCTTTTAACGGAGTATTTTTAGAATTCATTTTACTCGCAGAAGTCTCCAAGTCTATGCTTTGTTTCCTAGTGGTTTGCACATAATCTTCATCTTGCATATTCTCAGAACTACTAGTAGCTGTTTCTGTCTTAATCTTTGTGTTTCGTATATTACTGTTTCTCCCCTTTCCTTTTAACGGAGTATTTTTAGAATTCATTTTACTCGCAGAAGTCTCCAAGTCTATGCTTTGTTTCCTAGTGGTTTGCACATAATCTTCATCTGGCATATTCTCAGAACTACTAGTAGCTGTTTCTGTCTTAATCTTTGTGTTTCGTATATTACTGTTTCTCCCCTTTCCTTTTAACGGAGTATTTTTAGAATTCATTTTACTCGCAGAAGTCTCCAAGTCTATGCTTTGTTTCCTAGTGGTTTGCACATAATCTTCATCTGGCATATTCTCAGAACTACTAGTAGCTGTTTCTGTCTTAATCTTTGTGTTTCGTATATTACTGTTTCTCCCCTTTCCTTTTAACGGAGTATTTTTAGAATTCATTTTACTCGCAGAAGTCTCCAAGTCTATGCTTTGTTTCCTAGTGGTTTGCACATAATCTTCATCTGGCATATTCTCAGAACTACTAGTAGCTGTTTCTGTCTTAATCTTTGTGTTTCGTATATTACTGTTTCTCCCCTTTCCTTTTAACGAAGTATTTTTAGAATTCATTTCACTCTCAGAACTTTCCAAGTTCACGTTTTGCTTCTTCTTAGGAGATGCTTTTATTTTACTCTTTCCTTGATTAGTATCATTAAGCTTTTCCATTTTAATGTCTACAGATGTTTCTTCGCTCTCATCTAAAGACTTCGAATTTCTTTTACTTGAATGTGGTATATATTTATATGAACTAAACTCGTCTGTAGAATGATCACTGCTATTTACGTCCTTTCTCTTTTTTGGACTCTTCTTCAATTTTACTTTATTTTCAAGTGTACTTTCTTCTACATTCGAATCTAAACTATTGCTTGTTTTTCTTTGTTTCAACTTAATTTTATTAAGTTTGTCATCTGATTCTCTATCCGATAACCTTTTAGATAATTGCTTTGATAAATATTTTTCACATTCTTCGTTAACATCTTCATTTATAGAACTTTGAGAACTATGCCGTTTCAACTTCTTTTTCGGTTTGCTTTTTGGAGATATAAATTCTTCCAATTCCTCATCGTCCGTAAAATTGCCATTCATACCTATATTGTTTGTATATTCTAGTGAATCTGATTCTTTCACTTCTTTTCCCTTCTTAGAGCGTCTTTTATCTTTCTTTTCCTTTTCAGCATACTTTACTTCTTCCTGTTCAAGACTTTTGTTTAATTTTTTCAACTTATCCCTCTTTTTCTTTGTTGGTGACATATCTTCTTCAGAAGCGTCTTCAGAATCATTTTCAAAAAACATGTGCTTCGCCTGTTTAGAACCTTTCTTTGGTCTTTTATCTGTGTCATCTTCAATATCATCATCGAAGGATATATTATTTGTATTAACAGATATTTCTGGCAATCTACATCCTCGTAAATAATCACTGAAATGAAGTAGAAATAATGAAAGACTATACAAAAGCAATCTAAATTAAACAAAATAATTATTTACTTACTCTGGATCAAAGACACCACCAATATATGATAGGACTTTACTAGCAAGATTAAGAACAGTTAATGTAATTCGTACTTCTTGTCCAAACTGAACATGATTTCCCACCCAATCCTCATCATCACTCGGTCTTAAAACAATTACAGTAAAAGCTTTATGTACCACAACTCCGATGTGCTCTGGTACTATTTTTTTAACAATGCCTGTAAAACTCTCTCCATTAATAATGAATACAAATTATCAGCATTATATAAAAATTGAGTATATTACCTTTCAAAGAAATTCCTACTTGTGGTCTGAACACATAAAAATCTGCTTCTATGTCAATATGAATGAAACACGAATCATAAATTATTTCTCCCAAAGGTGTTAATAATTTAGGGTTCTTGTAAGCTACTATAAAACCCTTTAAACTACAATATAATTTAAAAATTAATGTAAACATAACCAAGAGAACGTAGTTTCTTTTCTACGTTTTTTTCGAATACTACTGTGATAAAAATTCAGTATATAAAAGAAATACAAATTTAATACATACTCTGTGTCATAAGAATTCAACTTTGCACATAAAATTTCATTCAAGGCTTTACTTAAATTCGTTAAGTGAAACGGATGCAAACCAAGATGCTTTTTATATTTTTCAAGAGAAACATAAGAATCTTCATCTTCGAGGAGACCCGCAAGCTCTACATCAGACCATGTTATTCCTGTATACTTTACGAACTTCATCGTAACTAATTTAAAAGTGTAAACTAAGCACCAAGCCGATTCTTATTCGAACACGTATAGGTTAAGCTCATGTTTTGTAGATAACATAAATCAGTGTTTAAACGTTTTTATGCTAGGTAATCCCCACCAAGTCCTCTCTTGTGCGCAGAGTGTTCACTCGAGAGGGAACTCCCCTAGGGAAAATGGCGACCAAGGGGAAGCTGTAAAATCTGCGTATTAGCACGCATTATAATTTACAAAAAATATTTTCGAAATCGATAAATAATGAGTCTCAAAGCTTTATCTTTAAAAGTAAACTGTTTTATTGCGCAATCTAGGTCTCAGAAAGGTGATTATAGGAGCAGTATCAAAGCGAAAGTTTTCTTGTAACTAAATTTTACATTCAAGTTTCACGACAATCAGTATACAAAATCGTTAATTACTCACTTTCTGAGCACAGTTTATGATCTTTTATGATTAAAGAATCGTCAGCAATGCATTATTTACATGGTTCGATCATGAAAGTTCATAAATAATGTTCGGGTAATAAGTACTTAATTATTTTGTGTCAGTATTGCGATACGTACATGAGCCGCCTATGTCAATTCTACTGCATATGCAAAGTGCAATATTTCGGCACTTTGACGACGTAGTATGGTTCCTGAGGCATTTAGAAACAAATTTCTATTAGGGTTTGATGCGTTTTGATGCCTAATAAAGCCAGAAAATCAATTTTTGTCGAATTCGGTCCAAAACGGTACAGGTGTCGCCATCTAGCGGCGAGCGGCGGAACTACGAAAAACTGAAATTTCGATTTTCTCCGAAATTAGGCAACTTTACGTATTTGTGAGGGTCAGAAATTGTTCTGCGATCTCTCTACAACCTGTATATTGCCACAAGAACCTCCTCAGAGCGCTAGGAAAGAAAATTAGAAAAAAGGTCAAAACATGGACTAAAAATTGGCGTCCATCTAGCGGTGAAAGTTGGAACTACAAAAATACAAAAATGTGATTTTCTCGAATATTAGCGAACTTTGAGTACTTGCGAGGCTCAGAAAGTGTTATGTGATCGCATTAGAAGCGAAATGAAGCAATAAAAGTTTCCCGAAAGCTTGAATAAAACAAATAAAAAAATGTCATTTTATGGAGAAAAATTGTGGCGCCATCTAGCGGCGAAACTGCGAACTAAACTGAAAA